CCGCCGCCGCCGCCGCCGCCTCCCGCTACCGCCGCCGCTGCGCCTGCTGCTCCTCGCCGTCCCCGCTGCAGTGCGAAGGGCTCGAAGATGGCCGGTTGGCAGAGCTACGTGGATAACCTGATGTGCGATGGCTGCTGTCAGGAGGCCGCCATTGTCGGCTACTGCGACGCCAAATACGTCTGGGCAGCTACGGCCGGGGGCGTCTTCCAGAGCATAACGGTGAGAACCGGCGCCGGCCGGGATCCCCAGCACTGGACCCCAGCGGAGCCGCCGGCCGTAGGGGGCCGCAGCGCGGGGCTGGGTCTCACGGAGCCGCGACCGCAGGTGTGCTGGCGGCGGTGCCCAAGATGCGGCTGCCGCGCGGACGGGGAAGCTGAGGCTCGGGCAGCCCCTAGCTCGGGGTTGCACCAGCTCGCGGAGGCGACGGCACATCTTTCGGGCTCCCGGCTCCCCGCCCGCCCCGGCTGGGCATTCCCAGCGCGGGTCTGGGTGAAACTGGGGGAGGGGGTGCGCACGGCTTAGGCGTGGAGTGGGGTGTCATTTTTCCCCTTGATGTGCCTTCTAGGTTCCCTGGCAGCTCTGAGGTCTGTCCTGGTGGTCCCGGAATGAAGGCGGGCAGTGGGAGGACCGGACCGGGGCGCGTAGAACCCGGGTGGGGGGGTCTTAGCCCCTGCGCCAGGCAGCCCCTCGCCCCGCGGACAGCGCTGCCCGCCCTGCGGACTGTGGGAGGCGGTGGCCGCCGGAACGCTCGCGGCGACTTAGCGTAGGTTTGCCGGTGTCCAGGCCTCTTGGGCTTCCGAGGAATATACGCCAACAACGTAGGTGGAATTCGCGAATCTCCACTATCGCGCTGGCTCCATAGGGTTTTTTTTTTTTTTTTTCCTCCAAGATGGCGAACTGCCATTGATTTCTCTCCTGCTCCTATGGAGAGTCATCGATATACCGTTATCCCCAATTATGCAACGTAGCTCTAAAAGGGAGAATTCTTTTATGGGACTTTGAATGATCTGTTAAGACCAAGGGGACTCTTAACTTCTCCAAGTGCCACCCGCGATGGCGATGGCAGTAAAGGAACTAATGCAGATTTATGGTTCAGTTAATGATTTTCTTGTGACTTCATGGTTTTGACTGGGTTGACACATGGGGAAAAATTGTCACTAGTCCTCCAATGCCTCTGTGTTTTGCCTTTTTATGCGTAAGGCTTTTTTCTGAAATTGTGATGAGAATATCAAATGCAGGACCATTCCCTTCATTTCGTACCCTCTCACAGCCTTTTCATTAACCGTGAAGATAAAGGCCTCCTCTTACGAGTACATTTTAATTATTCCTCTTCTGTTCAACATGATATAAGATCTGTGCGGAACTTAGTCCTTGATTCTAGTACTTGAAGCTCTCCTATAACCGCAGTGGACTACAGTTCTTACAGGGAATTGGCATCTGATAATCAACTTTTTTCCTGCAGTCTCTTGTCTTTGTGTGCGAGTTCCCGCTGTCTGAGTGGGAAGATTGCGGGAGTGTGTTTGGAAATGGCTGGGGCCTGCTATGACTCTGCAGTTCTGATGGGGGCGACGCCTTCCTTCTTATTCATGGAATGTTAGAATGCACGTTTTCTCCTTTCCGGTTCTGGTGGCTACCTCAGTTTCTTCCCCAACCTCCCTCCATTTTCTCTATTCCTTTACCTTTGCCTATTGCATCCATACATTCAGAATCTTCTGTGTTTGGTCAGGAGGAAAACTGATTTCTGAGGAGGGGAAGGGAAGTTGGGGAGAAAAGGGAGTAATAGCTAGAAAAAGAGAAGAGGGAAATATGAATTTGGAAATATGATGAAGCCTAAGGATTGAAGTTCCTACTGTGGATAGCTTTTTTGAAATACAAAAACTGAACAGATTGGCTAAACATGGACTTTATTTCAGGAGACTTTCAAACTTCCAATTTGATACATGACTGATTAATTTCACTGCATATGACAAGCTGTTGAGTTTATAGGTGAATCTTTACCATTACATAAGCCCCCAGGCACCACCTGACTGATACAGTTTATAAATAACTCTTAAGTTTGCAGTTTGTCTACTGTAAACTACCAACTATTTAGAGAAATTGTTTCCATAGACTTGATTTCCTTCTCAAACTGTGCTGTTGACTGTGAAATTTAGTTAATTAATTGTAAAACATGTAATCATATAAAATTAAGTAATTTTTTAGAGAAGTCTGAAACTTGATATTACATTAGTGAAATGTGGGTATCTTTGTAGTAGTAGTAGTACAAACTCGGTATACAGTTTTTTTTTTTTTGTTATATTAAGACTTGAAGACTTGAAAGGAATTAACTGCATCTTCATGTTCTTTCTTTTTCTTTTCTGTTCTTTTTTTTTTTTTTTTGGGTGGGGGGGCCAGCCAGTAGAAATAGATATGATTGTAGGAAAAGACCGGGAAGGTTTCTTTACCAACGGTTTGACCCTTGGCGCAAAGAAGTGCTCAGTGATCAGAGATAGTCTATATGTCGATGGTGACTGCACAATGGACATCCGGACAAAGAGTCAAGGTGGGGAGCCAACATACAACGTTGCTGTCGGCAGAGCTGGTAGAGGTAAGCTCGTAATCTTTTTGCCGGTAGTTGCACACCATGTTACAACTTACTGGACAGTTTTAACATTTTTAATAAAAGTGTTAGTCCATAATGGCTATTAAGGTGGTTTTTGTGAACTGTCCAGCACTGAAGGAGGGGACAGGCTTTAAACATACCCTATAGAAAATGCAAATAGAGTTGAGCTGCTGAGATTCTGACTTTATTCTCAGACTATTCAAAACAACTCTTCATTTTCGGCTATGATAAACTTAAAATCTAAACTTGCCTCAGGCTTTACTACATGTTTAATGTTATTTTATGAGACAGATTGTTGAATCGTTCAAAATTTTTGGTTATTTCAATAAATTCCTTTGAGTCTTGGATTGCTGGATCTCTTTATTCTTGTTTGCATTTTAGCCATTAACTGCTCAGCATAAAAATGAAAAAGTTAACATTGTTTTATTTTCCTATTAGAAATATTCGGGAAAGAGAAATGATTAGGATGAAGGTTTTGGAGTACCTTGCCTATTTACTAAAATATTTTCAAAGATATTAATGTGTGACTTTTGGCCCAGAAATCCAGTTAATAGTAACTTGTCAGCATTGCAACAATTCTTACTGTAAGAGCTAAGGATCACTCACTACTTAAAAAAAAAAAAAAAAAAAACTTTGGTATTTGAGGTTTATTATGACATTCTATTGATTTAGAGGTACATTTGAATGTGTTTATTAGTCTGTATAAATTTTGTAAATTAGGCTTGTGTAGCCTGATGCACTTGGTGCATCTAATTTAAGACTACAATGTGAAGGACCTTGAAGCTACCCTGAGCTCCAATGTACTGCTATAGTTCTACCAATTCCCAGCATTTATTCTAGTGGTTACTCTTAATTATGATGTGAGTTAGTGGTTATCTTTCTATAGAAAAAAATCAAATGGCTGAAAGAGTAAACAAATCTCGCTAAACATAAGCTGAGCTCAAGTAATTATGTTAAAAAGAATTAGCTACTATAAGACACAAAGCCAGAATGAGATTTTCACACTTTAGGGCACTACTGACATCTAGTGGCAGTGAACATGAAGTCTGAAAGAAAATGCATCTGTTTTAGGGGTAGGACCTTTGAGCTGTATCATAGAAAACTAACCTGTTGGTAGAAATAATAAACCTTTCTGAGGATTTTAGACTAAGTGAAAACTACCGTAGTGTAAGCATAAGCCTTACATACTTTGGCCTTTTCTGAATGGCAGTGAAAAAAACTATTTAAAATTGTTCTTAGCTTTCTCCTGGGAATTATGGATACATTTAACCTCACTGCTAAGACTTAGTTTGTACTGAAGCATCTTAAATTTTGGAGGATTTTATAAATAATCATTAAATTTTTTAAGTTTACTTTTGGGGGGCCAGTCTGATATGTATTTGTCATATTAACAAGTTTTTTGACCATAGAATAAAAGATAGATGATTACACCTTTTTCCTTTTGCCAACATAAAGATAGCTTTACAGTATAGCACAGCTTTACTGCTTCCAAGATATAGTTAATAGTAAATGGTGATTTTAGTTTTCATTTATAGTTTGAAAGTTCTTTTTTTTTTTAGAGACTTCAGTGCTTGACAGTTCATGAAAAACTAACTTAATGTTATCTTATTAATCAGGGTCTGTCTGCTAAAACTTATGTGACTTTCTTGATTAACACTTCTTTTGAAACACTTTTCTTCTTTCTCTTTCAGTCTTGGTCTTTGTAATGGGAAAAGAAGGGGTCCATGGAGGCGGATTGAATAAGAAGGCATACTCAATGGCAAAATACTTGAGAGACTCTGGGTTCTAGCTGCTAGGCAGACTGTTAAGTATTAGGGGAAAATTGCTCTTAAATTTTCCTAGCTGTAAGCTTGAGTCTTAATTCTGGAAATTTTATTAGCAATGCAGGGTGATGGGGTATGAATCTGTGTCTCCTTTGTATCCCTCTATTGGTGGGGAAAGGTGTCTTTCTTTCTGGCCCCCTCTCCCCCTTAAATAATTCTGTTCACTTTTGTTTTGTTTCCTTGTGTACTCCAGCATTGGTTATAGTCATGGGAAAGGAAGGTGTCCACGGAGGCACACTTAACAAGAAAGCATATGAACTCGCTTTATACCTGAGGAGGTCTGATGTGTAAGCAGCCTCTCCCCATCTACCTAGCAACTGTCTTCATCACTACACCCCAGTTATGGTCACTGTGCTATAAAACTAGATGGTAGTTAATTTTTCTAATTTCTTTACCTATTTTCTAATGTCATGATTCCTGTTTGCCCAATGGATCATTTGTATGTTAACCACTGTATGTAAACAACCTTTATCTGGCAACATAATGCAGCACAATAATGATTTGCATGATACCTTAAATTTGGGGGGAGGGGGCATGCCAAGTTGGGCATCATTTTGTCTTAGCAATTAATGGGATATTGATTACTAAAATTAGTTAATATTAAGGTGCCGATTGTACAATCTCTAATTTGATCAATGTCTTTTCAGCACTTTGAGCATTTTCTTGGCTCATTTAGTCTTCCTTTTGTAGTGCATGGTAGGGAGGAAAAAGTGCATGCATCTTTTTCTTTGCTTGTCTTTTCCCACCCCCTCCCTTCACACATAAGGTATTTGGTTTGTTTCCATCTTCTTTTACAGAGTGCCTGGTTTATTTAACCAATTAATGTCCCTTTTGTTGATGAGCTACTGAGAATTACAATAGTTTGCTTTTAGTATTGTTGTTGCACTTAAATAGAGAGAAACTTTTGTTCATAGTCTACAGGACATATTAAGAGTGCAACTACAAAACAAGAGCAAAAGGCATTTCCTCCCATGACCTTACAGTAACCATATTGATTAAATCCCCAGGGACATTCTATCATTGCAATAGCTCATATTTTTGTTCCTGTCTTTCTCATTGCACACCAGCTCTACTCTTTAGTAAAATTGTAAAAGGCTGCCATTATGGACATTAGGTATCCCAAAATAACCATCTGGAGTGTGTCCAGTTTGTTCTTAATAGGACCAATTTTATTTGCAGCTTGAGTTTTTATATGAAGTTGCATTGTTGTGGACTTGGCTGTCTTGTGATGAATTTTTTTTTTTCATATGTATTCTGTGCCATACATACTATTGTTAAAGAATGAACTGTTGCTATTGTGAGATGGATTTTAACTGACCTAGTAAAGGTTTCTTTCAAATGGCACTACTTTAGGGACATTCTAGTATTTGCTTCTATTGTTTGGGCCTTGTGGATAATGTACAGATTTAAAAACAAATCTTGTTGCTGATTTGTCCATTTCTTTCCCTGCACTTTGTTACATCTGGGATACAGTCTAACTCATCTGATTTAATATGCATTTAAAAAAATGCCATAACTATTAAACACCTTGTTTACAGACAGATGAAATAAATTTATTCCAACCAAATGTTCTAGACTCCTGTTGTTTATATGAACTGTTCACTTACTTTTAGTTGGTTTTTGACACAATGGGTTTATGCAGATAGGCCAAGGCTTGCTTCAGGCATAAATCCTAAAAATAAAAATTCATCTGATGACCTAACTATTCTATTTCGTGCAGTTCATATTATAATTAAAATGAGTGCATTGGAATTTCTTTTTTTTTTTTTTTTAAGATTTACTTATGCATACAGAAGTGGGGTACAGGCCAGAGGTGCAGGGGCAGTGAGAGGATTCACCAGAGACAGAGTGGGGAGCAGAACAGACCAACTACAAAGTACTCTGCTCAGGGGAGCAGCGGGCAGGTCAGGAGAGGTCTGCTGTGCCATGTGGATCACCTCTGGGGCAGGGATCATGCTGAAGTAGTTTTAGCTTCTTGGCGCTGTGCTTTAACCTGCTGCACCAAGCTTCGAAGTTCTGCTCAGCACATAGTTTTCTTCTTTCTTACCCACTTCCCCAGTTCTCTGAGTGTTTTCATTCAGTTGACTCCAATTTGAAAGCTCCTGATATTTTACTTTTTTACTTGTTCATCTTATTTTGATATACCAAGTATCTACTACATACCTGATATACTGAGCATGGTTCTAGGTGCTAGTATATAAGGCAAAAATGCCCTCTGCCTGTGTGTGGACATTATGTTTAAGCAGGAAAATACAAAGAAAAAAAGCAAACATCAGCTAGGAAAGGGCTATAAAGAGAAACAAGACCAGTTTAGGTAAGGGACTGTGTTGCTAACCCACCAAGGGGTGCGCTGACTGCTACATTCTCCCTAACGTAAGAGACTCGGAGACGTGAGAGAATGAAGCAGGATCCTGGGGTCTGGAGTCCGAAGTCTTTATTAGGACCATCCATGGGTGTATATATAGGGTGTGTTCCTGCAGGGTAAATCCGGAAATGTGCCCTACGCAGGGAGTGCGGTGCATGTTTGTACAGGGCCTGGGGCTTCTTGTAGCTTCTACTTGAAACACAGTAGTGGGCTGCAGCTATTTGCAGCACAGAGTGCACTGTTCTCTGCTGACTTGTTTGTTGGCCTCACTGGGGAGTGTGCTCACCCATGCACAACATTAGCCAGGGCGGACAGGTGCACTTGAGGTCCTGCAGAGTTAGCCACAG